AAACAGCCCTTTTTGGAGAGCTTTATTGCCAATTATCTCCCTGCCACGACCTGCCTGGGCACAGCCAAGCCCTGCAGCCTCCAGTGGAAAATGTGGTGTCGTGGCCCCACAGGCACAAGCTGCTGCTCGTCCCGGCACACTCAGCTCACCCTCCCCTTGCAGTGAAAAGTAAACTCTTTGCCCAAACTTTCTTTTTCCTGGCTGATTCATGTCCCTGTTGCTGCCCCACTCATGGGGAAGGAGCAGGAGCAGGAGCTGTTCCCTGGCATGGCTCACAGGAAGGACAAGCTGACTTTAAAGTCCAGGAGCAATTTCTCCATATCTTGGGTGTCCTTTTGCCCTGGCCAAAAATCACAGTCAAAACCCCTTTCTCATTGGCATCAGCTTCCTTGTTCCTGCACTGAGCCCTATCCGTCCTTATCAACCTGCTGTGCGGTCTTGGACTTGGGAGTATTTATTCCTCCAGCAGCAGAGAGGAACCTAATCCTGCACGGACACCAGTGCCAGTGGAATTGACGCAAGCAGCACTGATTCCCAGGGCTGCCCTCCCTCTGGCACAGCCGTGTCCCCCAGGGAGCCCCATTGGGGGTGCAGGGAAGCCCCCATGAGTGCAGCGTCCACAGCGCAGGTGCCACTGTGGTGGTTTCAAGGTCAAATATTTGAATGTCACCCCCACAACGGAGCCAGCACGGCGAGAAGGGGACGAGCCTGCGCTCCCAGGATGGCCATATCTGTGCCACCTACATCCTTGGCGTCCCCCGTATCCCCCATGCCAAGCACAACTCTGAGTATGACACAAGTGCTCCACTTTTAGCAGCAGAGCCGGGTCTGTCCCGACCTTTCCTTCCTGCTGATCTCAGCCTCTGAGTCAGGGCAGGAATCCGAGCGTGCCCACCAAAAATAACAAATGTTAAATTAATCCAGTTTAATCTTAATCTCGTTTGACAACCAGCTCAGCCGGGGGTGCTCCCCGGTGTCCAACTGACCAGGACTCCGGGATGGGGGGAAAGGGAAAAGGGCTCCGGAGCCCGGCACCCCACACGGTATGGGGACAGAGGGAAGTATGGGGGGCACGGGAGTGGTGGCAGGAGCCAGCAGCTCCCGGTGACAGTGGCAATGGGGGTGGCACGGGGGCCAGGCGGGGCTGGTCCCGGCACAGCGAGGAAGTCACGGTGAGATCCCTATCGCCTGCGCGGGGGCGGCCGGGAAAGGCACGGTACAGCGGGGGCGGGAGTGGGGCCGCCTGAATTCAGGGCTGACAGTGCCCCCAAAACCTGGGTCCTGCTGTGCGGGGGGAAGAGGTAACTAACCCCAACCCTGACTAGTGTGCCAGACTGGGGAGCACCTGGATCCCGAGGAAAAGAGGCACTAAGGGCTGTAGGCACTGTCCTGGGTGTGCTGGGAGAAGCCTGCACGGCTAGGCTGAGCCATGCCAGCCCCTGGAGGGACTCTCTGTATGGCATTTCCACTTCTGGACATAGAATCACAGAATCCTGGAATGCTTTGGGTTGGAAGGAACCTTAAAGATCACACAGTCTCACCCTCTGTCATGGGCAGGGACACCTTCCACTATCCCAAGGTTGCTCCAAGCCCCATCCAACCCTGAACACTTCCAGGGATGGGGCAGCCACAGCTTCTCTGGGCAACGTGTTCCAGGGCCTCACCACCCTCACAGCCAAGAATTTCTCCCTAAATCCAATCTAAACCTCCTCCCTCAGTCTAAAGCCTTATATCTGGCTGTAAGGTATATCTAAACGAACCACAAAGAGCCCCGAATGAACAAGAGGTGTGATGGGGTTTGGAATGATGGAGCAGTGTAGCTGCCTCAGAGGAAGGCAATAGCAACTGAGAATCCTCAGCATGGGAAGGATAAATCCATGGGAAAGAGTCTGGCATGAAGGCTCACTCTGCTTCCGCCCCGCTACGCACTGAGCTGCAGCTCGACATGACTGCTCAGGAAGAGATAAGGAGACATCAGTTTAACCAGCACCAGAAGATCAGTGGTATGGGAACCAGCAGCTCAGAGAGGCTGTGACACCTGTCCTGGGAAGGCACACTGCTCCACATGCCACTGCTCTGTGCTGGCTCCAGATGTGCTGCCCTGGCTCCAGATGTGCTTGTCCTTGGGGCTGCCCCAGCCCCAGATGACTTAAACGGGCTCCAGATGTGCACACTTACCATCTTCTCCCAGCTGTGCAGCCCCGGCCCCAGCTGTGTCCCCMCACACMCMSARMA